TGATTTTCCTTGTAATCATCATTACTTTTTCATTTTCATGCATCTTTAAACTGCTTGGGCTGAGCTGGGCCTAGATGCTCAAGTGTGAAATTGAGTGAGAAAGGTAATTTTTTAAGAGCGTTGAAGCTGCTTTTCACCAGAGTGGGCTTTTACTGCCCTTTTTCTTTTTCCCCAAGGAGAAAAGAAAGTAAGCATTGGGTTACCCCTTTCTCGTCGTAGTGAAATATTTTCCCAAACTCTTCTACACTCAGCAGTCTTAAGTGGCATGAATGATCACACCTCACTTTTCTGACTTGCTCTTCTGGCTCGGTCTGGATTAGGCCATGACAAAAGGAGACCTCATAACACATAGCGCTGGTCTGCCACGTGTCTTACTACTACCACTGAGGGTGACACTGGCCGTCATACAGTATGCTTTCCTACTTTTCATAGAGTGTCCTTGAATTCTCCATAACCACATGCAGGGAGTGTTTCATGGTGAATAAAACACTAAGTCAGTAGTTAGAAATTCTGGGTTCTTACCCAAGGACTGCATCTTGGCCACCATATGACCTTGAGAAATTCATAATTTCTCTGAAAAAAAAAACGTGCAAGTTTCTTAGAACTGTATCCACCTTTTGGAATATGTTAAGTCTCCATTAAAGCATCCATAAACCAGGTAATAGGGATTAGGGATCTTTATATTAAAATGAGCAAATGGGAATCTGGAAATCTGAATTGATTTTTTTTAATCATTCTGTATTCAAATGACTGTGTTATATAGAGATGAGAAACCCTCTCTCCCTCTCTCTCTCAATTAACATGCTATGGATTGCCAGGGCACAGAGGTGTTTGAGTTACGGACATAAAGATACTCACAGATATATTTTCGTTTCCTAATATCAAGATAGCTGGAGCATTTGTATAGCTAAATGCCACACTAACCTGGATGGTGGATGCATTTCAGACAAAGAGATGAGCTGTGCTTACATAAAATAGTGCTTTGTACAAAGATGACTTTAAGAATGTTCCCTGATGTAAACAAAAGGGATTCTAACATTATCCACCCAATACCAACCAACTCAGGGATTCAGAAGAGCTTTAAATCTGCCTCTACCATGTTTACAGTACACAAGGAGGGTGTGGGTAAAGGTTGGGAGTAGGGTTGGCAAAGGGGCTACTTGAAAAGCTATGGTCTCAAGACCTGGAATTTTAAGATTTTTGTCTCTGGAGGAATGTTTTTGTTTTTTTGTTGGTGGTGGTGGTTTTTTCCCTCTATTTTCTCTCTCTCTCTCTCTTTTTAATTGATTATATATATTCATGGGGCAAGAGCTGACCATCAACACCTGTGCCCAAGATGTGGTGAGCAAATCAATGCTCTCAGCATGGCCCCCGCCTCAAACTGCAATTATTCCCCATGTCTCCCACCCGATCTCTTCCCTAGGCCCCTCCCCCTCCCCCACCCCACCCCAGCAACCCTAGGTATGTTCTCTCCCTCTGCAAGTTTATCATACCTCTACAATCTTTCTTTCCTTCCTTCTTTATCTTTTAGCTTCCACTTATGAGTGAGGACATGCAGTATTTTTCCCTCTGTGTCTGGCTTATTTCACTTAACATAATTTTCTCCAAGCTCATCCATGTTGCTGCAGATGGCAGAATTGCATGCTTTTTTGTGGCTGAGTAGTATTGCATAGTGTATATATACCACATTTTCCTTATTCTGGATGAATATTTTTACCCACGTAAGAGATATACTTCTATTACGAGGCAGTTGGCATGGAGAGTATCAGTTCTGGTTAAGACTTGAATTGCTTGTCTGGTCCTCTTGAGCAAATTGTTTAAAACCTCTGAGCCTCAGTGACAATAGTATCTAATTTCCAGGTACAAAATAAATAATGTTATGATAAAAATGCTTTGGAAACTATAAAATACCATGTAAATATTAATTAGTAGCATGATCATGTTGTTCAAATGGCTGATAGGACTAAGAAGCACAGGGTTAAGCCAGCAAAAATTCTGAGAGAACTAGGAATGCGAGTCTCTTTCTCAACAATCTGTCTCCTCCTTTAAAAATGTGTGTGTGTGTGTGTGTGTGTGTATTATTCCCTCATGTTCCTGGCATTGAAAGACCAATGTTTCATTCCTAGCATGGAGAGACCCCCACCTTTCAAGCCACCACCACCTCCTATCAAGTACACTTGCATTCAAGAGCCCATTGGAAGTGATCTGCCTTGCCATGAGATGGAGACACTCTAGTCCTTTGAGACTGCCATACAGCAGAACTCTGCTGGAATCATATTGAGAAAGTAGATACTGTGCTTTGTAAATTGGCCTTCCAGCCAAGCCTCTGCTATAGCTGAAATAGATGTCGGAAGTGAATGACCTGCCTTCTCTCCCTCTTTCATCAGCATGTGCCTGAAATTTAAACAAGAGTGAGAGCATATGTCTTGCTCACACCCAATGCGATCTGTAGAGATTTTCTTGCTTATGTAAGAGGTGCACATTAAGCTACTGTCGTTAAGAAATACAGTGTTTTCATTTTTCATTTTAATTCTCAAGCATATGTCCATACCAGATCCTCTTCTTTTGGACATCTGCCAACATTCTCAACTATTTTCCAAAATTATGAAAATCTCTGAGCTTTATTGCATTCCCTAAGAAAATTATAAGAAGAAAATATGAAAGTTCTAGCAAGAGTTCCAAATAATGATGAAATACAGCTAGTTGTCATATTGAAATTCTGCTGTTTATTTTCTTGGAAGGAAAACAGAATACCTTGCACAGGAATCACATTTCTAATCCTCCTTCATCCTTCCTCCCATTATGTTCAGCCCAGGCTCCTGCCACATGAATCAGGAGGAACAGGGATCAAAAAGTAACTAGCCAATAACCAAGTAGCCTAGTAGATATAAGACTTTACTGGCTTCTAAAATTATATTAGCTAAGAGGGATTTCATTCTCAGCTTTGCATGTGTGTGTGCATATATGTATGCATGCACATGTGTACCAAACTATTATATAAGCAAATAGGCAGCCTAACCCAATCTAACCCATCCAATTCTCATTATTCCCTTCTTCGTCTTTCTTGATCATCCACCTACCTGTTCTGATCTGTCTTGAAACAGATAAAAAGCCTCACATCAGACTAGCACTGATGAATTAACCCTGCTCCATCCAATCTTTTACAAAACAGTTCAAGCAGAATGTATAAGTGATGGAGAAGAAACCTTGTCAGCCAGGCATACTCTGTATTCAGCAACAGGTTTTGAGTGAATAAATTACTGACCCCCTTTGTCCCCTTCAATCTCCCCTCACTCCTTGTCCCAGGAGGAAAAAAACAGATGTTGTTGACAGATAAAACAATAGGCAAATCCTGTGTGGATCTTAGTCCCAAAAGGAATGAACTAAAGGTTCATTTGCAGTGTATTTATCTCTGACAGTACATGAGAATAACTTGGAAAGTTTGTCTTTTTTAAATTTGATGCCCAGCCCACTTCCGAGTAATTAAATCAAAATCTCCAAGCAGTGAGGCACAGGCATCAGCACTGTCCAGATGATTCACGTGTTCAGTTGAACTTGAAAACTGCTAAACCAGTGCTAGTCCCTTCTCATTGATCAATATCTTCATTAAGTGCTTAACTCTTGGGCCAACCTCCAAGATGACTCCCAATGATTCTTGCCTCCTGCTATTCACACCCTTATATAGTTCCCTCCAACACTGAATACAGCTGACTTATATAACCCAGGATCAAGGCATTTGTGCTCAGGGTCATGCAATTGCACAGTCTTGAGAGTGAGTGCCAGTCTCATCCCTGGTATCATCAATAAGATACTGCAGAAATGAGCAGAGTGTGACCTCCAAGGCCAGGTCATAAAATACATTATAGCTTCTGCCTTGACCTCTCTTTTGTCACTGGCTCTGGGGGAAGCCCATTCCCATTCTGTGAGGAACGGAACCGTATTGAAAAGTCTACCTGTGAAGGGACTGAGGCCTCCTGCTAACAACAAGCATCAACTTGCCAGTCATGGAAGGGAGCCATCTAGGAAGCAGATTCTCCAGCCTCAGTCAAGCCTTTAGATAATTGCAATCTCAGCTGATCTTTTGACTGGGACATCATGAAAGCCAGAACCACCCAGCTAAGCCTCTTCTGAATTTCTGCCCCACAGATTCTATGAGAAAATAAATGCTTATTGTTTAATACCACTAAGTTTGGGCATAATTTGTTATATAGCAACAGATAACTAATACAGCTCAATAAATGGAAAAATAAACTGTTTGCCTGCCTTAATTATCCTTAATTTCTCATGAGTTCTCAAAAAAAAAAAAAAAGACTAGCTTCATATATATATGTCTGTCACTTTATGTAGATAGTTATTTTTATTTAATACAACTTAATCATCAGTAATTTGTGTAAAAGGCATCATGGTTTTATTTTACGGTCTCATTAGGTGAAATAAATACAGGTAGAGGTATAGGGGTAAAAGGTGGCAGACTTAGGATTGTTTAGATTGTTTCAGTAAAGGGAGAGACAGTTTTACAGTTCAACATAAATCTATGTAATTTTTCAATCTATTGCATGACAGGTGTCTTAACAGTTTTTTTATATTAACTATTCTTTGAAGTACTTTCCTTTAGTATTGGAAATAAGTTCTGGTCAGCATTTGCAAATGCTACCCCTTGAATAGAGTGAGCAGTTGCTTATCTGTGGAAGAAATGCCCAGTGAGTAGTTCAGAGGAACTTTTCATAAACCTGCAAAATAGAGGGACTTTAGAGGCTGTGAGCTTGACCTCCTTCGTTTGACTAAAATGGAAGTTTCATTTGCACCTTAAATTGTGTGCCAGTAAATTCATATAGACCTTGTCTCAAAGCAGCAACTCCTCTCTCTGTAAGTGCATTTAGTTTAGCCCCACAGGAGAAGTAACAACACTAGACTCTAATCCCTGAGGTTTCTGCATGTCTTCATCATCACTTTCATTTTCAGCAAGATGAAGCCATGCATAAGCATTTTTATCACTATCCCCAAAGTGCTGTGTTAGACAACATTGTTATTAAGAATTTTTCATTTCCTCACCCACCTATGTCATGAGCACACCTTGACTTTGGGTTTGTTCTTATGACTTGTTTTGGGCAATGGAATATCACAGGCCTGACTAACCCAAGGCTTGAAAAGTGTTTGTGTGATTGGACTCACTCTCTTGTTCTCTGCCATTGCCATGAGAAGAACATTTTCAGGCCAGCCTACTGGTGCCAAAAAGAGGAGAGACTTATGGGGCAGAACTCAACCCAGGCCCAGTCTAGATCAGGCAACCCCCAGCCTGCCTCAACAGGTACATAGTTAAAAATTGTTGTATGCCATGACATTGCATGATTGTTACACAGCACAATTGTAGCAGTGGTTAACCTGTACACATAGATCCAGAAGAAGGCATATTTTAGCTCATAAGCAAGTGCCTAGTCTGAGAGATAAAAGGTGTGCTTTAGTCAAAAAGAACCTTTCCTCTGATTCAGCATGAGCTTTGTTTTAACTGAAGACAATATGGTTGGCTTTGCCAAATTAGCTTTGATTATAGGTCTTTAAAATCATGAAACATTTGAACAGGATGAGTATTAGAGATCATTTTGCAAAGAATGTGTTAAAGGCTTTATGAAATTGACTTGTCCAAGGTCACAAAATTAGAAGTGGTACAGCCAAATCAATGACCCAGCTCTCTGATTTCCAGTCTAGTATGTGATCAATCTCTGTTTGCTTTGTTATCTCCTTTTACTATAGGCAAGAGCTGTTTTATATGCATTTAAGTAAATATTGATTTTTTTAATGCCCGTGTAGTATGCTAAAAATTGTGACAGAAAACAAACAAAAGTAGAAGTAATTGACCCCTGGGGATGGGATGCACTAGAAAATATGAAAAAAAGAAATGACTAGGAAATGAAAAGAGAAGAGAGTAATCAAGATTAAAGGCTAGAAAGAAAATGTGAGAAACTTACCACGTAGAAGTAATTGACCCCTGGGGATGGGATGCACTAGAAAATATGAAAAAAAGAAATGACTACGAAATGAAAAGAGAAGAGAGTAATCAAGATTAAAGGCTAGAAAGAAAATGTGAGAAACTTACCACGGCCAGAGATAATAAAAACTATGTTGTCTCAGAGGCTCAGAGCAGAGGAAGAGGTTCTTGAAGGCAGCCCTCTTGGCGCCCTGACTTAAAAAAGTGGCTTTCACTTGAACCTGAAGGTTGAATCTGCAGAAATACAGAAACTTTGTTCTCTCTGAGACAGAGTTGAAATACATAGCCCAACTGAGTTTTTGACAACAGCAGTCATGGCTGTCAACCAGCTAAAGGATGTGTGCCCAGCAGAGACAGCTGAAATGGCAAGTGAAAGTTACCACCATGAGAGAAAAAGGACATGGTAGAAATGGGCTGTCATTCCAGCCAGAAACACATTGTTAGATGGCTGGAGCAAGGCAGTTTATTTCTCAGCTCCTGCAAAGGGTTTTTTTCCCTGCATTCTGTGATTGCTAACAAGATTCCATGATGCAGGCAGGAAGGCATGACCAGAGAGCAGAAGCATATGACCTTAGGAAAGGTCAGGGCCAGGGAACACTTTTGGAATTATTCTTAAGCCCTGTCTAGCACATCTGTGATGGGTATTGACATTCACTGGGTGCAAACTAACATAGGAATGGGAACAACAAAATGTAAATTTTTCTCCCTAGCTAACATCTTTGTACCCTTCAATCTCTGTTACATTCTTTGTTGGTTCTGCTCATTCGGATTCCTTGTGTTTGCCCAAAGACTCCATGACATTGTGATTATGGGGAGGAACACTGGGGAGGATGAAGGGGACAAGCCATAAGCCCAGTATCACAACATAAAGAAGATAACATGGACGGGGGCCACATACAGCTACCCTTGGTGAAACGACAGAAACCTGTGCACATTTGCCTAAGTTTTGCCTGACTATTCCCCGCTTACTGTCCAGAGAAGACATACCACCAAAGAAAATTGAGTACAGTATTATGCCGTTCAGCTATCACCAGAAAATATTCAGAAGTGTCAGGTAGGCAAGGTGAAGAGGATAGAATAACAGTTAGATGAATTCTAGAGAGAAATTTGAAGGTCAACGTGATAACATGAGAAGCATAGACAAGAGTTAACATCTCTATCCTGCGCCTTCTCTTCAAAACGTAAATGTTCTTTAATGTTAAATGAGAAGATGAACAGTGACGTGAGAATTGCATCTATGGTAGAATCATTTTTGCACCACTAATTTGGAATATGCCTGATTCCACTCTTACAGGTCATTGGGTCACACTGGATTTTTCTTTTACATAAA